GACGCTTTGCTTTCTTTCACTCTGGACTCCGGAGCTTCGCACTGCTTCTTCCGCGACCGCACGACACTTACCCCGCTTCCTACACCGGTCTCTATAGCACTGGCTGATCCCACTTCGGGACCAGTCACTGCTCGCTACACTACTACGCTTCCGTGCCCGGCTGTTCCCTCCGGTTCTCTGACCGGCTTCCACGTCCCCTCGTTCTCGAGGAACTTGGTGGGCATGAGGCCGCTCGTGAGTCAGCACGTGGGTGTGTGGATTGAGCCTTCTGGCGAGACTGCGGTTTGTGTCGACGGGGACACGTACGCGCCTCTCGCCACCTTTACCGCTGAGCCAGGCTCTGGTCTCTACACACTTCACACTGGCCCCCGACAGCAGCAGCAGCAGCAGCAGCAGCAGCGGCAGCAGCAGCAACTACTGCCCCCGACCCCTGTCACTGCCCCCCATCAGGTTCCCGCGTCTCACCAGGTTACCGCGTCTCCCCAGGTAGCTGTGTCTGGTCAGATTCCGGTGTCTGGTCCAGTTGTTGCGTCGTGCTCCTTCCGGTCACTTGCCCACCCCACCGTTCTGTGGCACCACCGGATGGGGCACCCGTCCATTCCTCGCCTGCGCGCTATGTCTAGTCAGCGTCTTGTCTTAGGCCTCCCGCGAGTCTTGCCGTCGCTGCCGCCTTCGCTTGCACCACCTTGCGGTCCCTGCGTCGAGGGTCGGCTGCGCGCTACCCCTCACTCCTCCTCCCTTCGTCCGGCCACCGAGCCCTTCGAGACTCTCCACTTGGACGTCTGGGGCCCCGCCCCTCACCCTGGCCTTGAGCGAGAGAGTTTCTTTCTGGTGGTCGGTGACGACTACTCTCGCTACACCACAGTGTTCCCCCTGGCGAAGAAGTCTGAGGTGACTTCTACGCTGATCCGGTGGTTACTTACCACTGCGGACACTCCTACTGCACCCGGTACCCTTGTCGAGGTCTTTCGGTACCTTCTCCTCCTCTCTTCCTGACTCCCGCCCCCTCTCCTGCCCCTTCGGTACAGCCCCCCCCCCCCCCCCCCCCCTGGTCCAGCCCCGTCAGGTGTGTCACACGCTACCCCTCCCCCCTTGGTAGCCCCTCAGGTGCCGTCCCCTTCCCCACAGTCCTCCCATCCTACAGCAGACCCTGCGGGAGCTGGTTTTCGTGGCGAGGACCCTGGAGGTGCTAGCTCTAGAGGTGCTGGAGTTGGAGCAGAGAGCGTACCTGTGCGAGGTCCTGGTTCTGGGGGTGCTGGAGTTGGAGCTGAGCCCGTGACTGCAGGAGACTCTAGTCTTCGGGGAGCTGGTGTTAGTGGAGCTGTCCCTAGGGGTGCTACGACTGGGGGTGCACCCTCTGTTGGACCTGGAGAGCCTGGGACGGGCCCTGTTACTTCGGGTGGTGCTGGCTTTGGGGGTGGTGCGAGTGGTTCTTTGGAGAGCGGTCCTGCGGCTACCGCCGCTCCGGACACTACTCCTCCCCCCCACCCCTACACGACCCGGCACCAGGCCCGTGTTCGCCGTGCCCGTGAGGAGCAGCTGGAGTTGGAGCGAGAGGAGAGAGAGTTGGAGTGGCAGCAGCTAGAGCTACAGCGGCTGGAGGAGCAGCAGCAGCAGCAGCCGGAGCAGGAGCAGCCGCAGCAGCAGGAGCAGCAGCAGCCGCCGCAGCTGGAGGAGCAGCTGTCGCAGCCGCAGCAGCAGCAGCAGCAGCCGCCACCTCCTCCTCCTGTCTCTGGTCTTCGGACCCTCGGTCTCCCCTCTCCTTCTCCTCCCTCCTCCCCCTCTCCTCCTGTCTCTGGTCCTCCGCTTCCTCTACTGACCCCTCCCCAGCTGTTTTTCCCTCCTTCTCTGCCTCCGTTGTCCCCTCCTCTTCCTCACACTTGGCCCTCGCGTCGCTCTCCTCATGCTCGTCCCTCGTCCCCTGTTCCCTTCTCTAACATTTGTACTGCCCTGTTTTGTTCTAGTCCGCCTCGTTCGTCTCCTTCTATACTTCCTTCTCCTCCTGAGTCGGCTCTCACTACTTCCCTCTCTACTCTTGTCACAGACTACTACCGCACGTACCGTCCTGTCCCCTCTCGTGTTCTCGCCTCTCTTGTTACCGACCCACGTGCTTCTCTGTCCTCTGTCTCCGCTCTTACTGCCGCAGTCACTGAGTTTGCCTCTACTCGCCACCTTGACTACGCCACCAGTCTTATGGCTGCTTCTCCTACCAGTCCTCTGGCCGTCAGGGGTGAGTCTGCGCTTGGCTGTGACGCCCTAGAGGACAGGCAGTTTTAGCTAGAGTTCATGGCAGCCGCTTCCCCTCATCTCTGTGCCATGCTGCTCGCTCCTGAGGGAGACCCCGACGCCCTTGACATAACGACTCCTCGCACTTATGCTGAGGCAGTGTCAGGGCCTTGGGCCATGGACTCAGCTCTCTTAGTGGAGAGCTGCCATGGACTCAGAGATGGCCTCCTACAGATCCACAGGCACCTACGTTGACGAGGTTCCCCCCCCCTGGGGCGAATGTAGTCAATGGTATGTGGATCTTCAGGGTGAAGCGGCCACCGGGATCTCCTCCGGTCTTGAAGGCGCGCTATGTGGCTAGAGGTTTCAGTCAGTGCGAGGGAGTTGACTTCTTTCACACCTTTGCGCCTACCCCGAAGATGACCACTCTTCGGGTGTTATTGCACGTAGCAGCACAAAGGGACTATGAGTTACACTCTCTCGACTTCTCTACTGCTTTCCTTCAGGGTAGCCTACACGAGGAGGTCTGGCTGCGTCATCCCTCTGCCTTCGCTGGCACTTTCCCTCCTGGGACCCAGTGGAGGCTGAGGCGACCGGTCTACGGTCTCCGTCAGGCTCCTCGTGAGTGGCACGACACCCTTCATTCTACCCTATCTGACCTCGGTTTCCAGCCGTCTTCTGCCGACCCGTCGCTGTTTTTTCGGCGTGGCTCCACACCGTTCTTTGTACTGGTCTACGTCGACGACCTGGTTTTCGCCACTGCTGACAGGGTTGCTTTGGCTGACGTGAAGCGCGAACTGCAAAAGAGACACACGTGCACTGACCTTGGTGAGCTGCGCCACTACCTTGGCCTGCAGATCACCAGGGACAGAGCCGCTCGCACCATTACACTCTCACAGTCACACATGGTGCAGCAGGTCCTTCAGCGGTTCGAGCTTCAGCACTCCACAGTACAGCGCACACCTCTTGCTGTTGACCACAGACTCACTGGACCCTTCCCTGATGAGCCGTTTGAGCCTAGTGGTCCTTACGCAGAGTTTGTGGGCTGCCTCATGTACCTGATGACTTGTACTCGCCTGGACCTCGCCTTCCCTCTCAGCATCCTTGCTTGCTTTGTTGCGCCAGGGAGACACCGTCCAGTTCACTGGACAGCTGCTGTGAGGGTGGCGAAGTACCTAGCGACGGCATCAGTCTGTTGTACTTACTGGACACTGTGACTCTTCTTACTCTGACGACGCCGAGACTCACAGGTCTACTCAGGGGTACTGCTTCAGCCTGGGCTCTGGAGCTGTTTCGTGGAGGTCCACGCGTTTCTCCTCGGTCTCGACCTCCACTGCTGAGGCCGAGATCTACGCTGGAGCCATGGCTGCACAGGAGCTGCGTTGGTTGACCTTCTTGCTCACCGACCTTGGTGAGCGGCCGAGCTCTGCACCGACCTTGTTCACTGATAACAAGGCGTCGATTCTCCTCTGTCAAGAGCCTCGACTGGAGAGCAGAGTGAAGCACATCAACGTTAAGTATTTTCTTCTGCAAGAGTTGCAGAGGCGTGGACAGGCTCGCTTCGACTTTGTGGAGTCCGAGGCTAACACTGCAGACATCTTCACCAAGGCGCTTCCGCCTTGTGACCACCGGAGGTGTTGTGTGCAGTTAGGTCTCGTTGACACAGGTTCTCGCTTTGCGTAGTCTTGAGTTCTCAGCTTGCTTTGTTTGTACGTTTTATATATACCTCTGTGAACTCTTGAACTGGCCTTGTGGCTCTTTTGCTTGTGCTCGGAGTGTGTGGTGACGTTGTGATCCACCCTGAGCTTTGTTTCTCTGTGACTGGCTTTGTGATCGTACACTTCTGGTTTTGCTTGACACCCCTCACTCAGACTATGGGGGTGTGTCAAATGTTGTAGTCTTAGTGATGTGTGTTATGGGGGGTACAACTATTAGGGTTAGGTTTATGTACCCCAACCAACTTTAGTCAAACCAATACTTTCATTCTTGACAGTTTCAGACTAAAGCTGTGTACTAGTCTAACGAATCAGACAGGCCGAAAACGAATCTGAGGGCCTGCCTAGGATCAATCGGGGATCACCAGTGAATCTCTGAACAACATATGGTTGGGTAGGGTTTTTTGCGAATATGTGCATTGTTAGACCCGCCCTAAACAAAATTGCTCTGATCGACCACCGAAACGAAGCACGTTGCCATGACAAAATAAAAAGTAGAAATCTTTGGTACAAACCGAGGAACCTCTTGGCTTAGGTATTTACACGAATCTGAGGCCTGATCCCAACCCAAATCAATCTACAAGGAAAACCGATTATTTTACACGAGAACAGCCAAAAGCCTTGGCAGATTCATTCCCCAACTCTCCAGCTGCTATGTAGGAGTTGTACGGATGAGCTTAATGAACGCAGGTGAAAGAACGGTATGGATATGCAGGGAAGTTTCTGTTGAATGGGGGGTAAGCACACAGGAAGGTAAGACAGAAATATTTCGATGCAATGCGTGACTGAGAAACGAAATGGAAGATTTGACTTGGGGGGGGGATTGGCATAGCATGCAAGGGAGAGAAGAGGGGAGCGGAGGAGGAACTGATGGGTAAAAAAGCTAACATTAGAACATTAGAACTGATGGGGTAAAAAAGCTAACATTACGTGTCAAAGGCGTGCGTGCATGTGTCATGCTTGCATGCGCATATCTCACATGTGCGTGAGCATGATGCGTGCATGTAAGATTTTGAATCTCTTATCTAGGATAGCAACAGGTGGCAATTGGTGACTCACGTGTAACCGATGCCACTCATCCCAGATCCAGAGGAACGGTACGAAGTGTACGTTCCAACGCACCCCTCCTGAGTGTATTGCCTCACAGAAAAGCAGTTCCCCACCCCTCCGGACACCTTGTGTATGATCAAAAGCGACCGGATTTTTGAGGAAGTTGAGGAAGGGATGGTGGTGCAGCCGTTGTATTCCAGGCGCATGGTGTAGGTGTTAGGTGTGATAGTGTAATTGCTCTGGTCGTAGAAGGTGATGCTGGTGGAGGAGACAGTGGGCAGCGCACCTGGAGGGAGAAGCTCAACATGGCATGGTAGGGGGTGGAAAGGTACAGAGGGGACGGGGGTGGTGCTCATATCCCGACCTCATTTGGTTGGGATCTTTCATTATTGAAGATCTGGCATCCCATCCCATTGTTTCCCTTACCCTATTTAACCAATAGGCAAGCACACAGGTTCTGTTGGGCGCACAAGTCGAGCCTAATTTGTGATTTTTGGCTCGGACGAGTCGAGTCAAGCAGAGCCGACTCGTTGAGCCGTTTTCCAAATTGTAGACTTGCAGAGATATGTCGAAAAGGAGGCCGTTCTGTCGAGCCTCTGGCACCACAATGTGTCGTCTTTGGCTCGTCAGATCTACTCGACAAAACAAGTTACGCGATTTACGCAGATTTGCGCGATTTTCCAACTGTCGGTCGGAACTTAATTTATGGGGGGCAGTCCCGAGCCAGCTCGGTTTGTCATCAGCTCACTCGATCTCTCTCATGCGAGACTGCCGGCTCGACTCGATGGCTACCGGGCTTGTGGCTCGGCTCGGACCGCTACACCATATCATCGTCAAAATTTCACATGTTGGTTCTCGCCTTTCCTTGCAACCGCACAGCACAAAACCGCGGCAGACACGTTCAGCAGAGGAGTGAAAGCGTGTTCAGAAGCAGAAGTAGAGCAGCTGAACAGGCCGTGCCAGAAACATTTCAGCTCAAGTTCGGGTATGGCTTTTCATATGTGGACCGCAAGCAACATTAGCCATACCTAGAACGCAAGGAGCATTGATCTTACCGCTGACGCAGCCAGTGCTGGTCATGGCATAGCCGGCAGGGCAGATGCAGTATGGCATGTAGCCGAAAGCAAGAGCACACGTGGCTCCAGTAGGGCAGTTGCCACATGTGGCGGGGCCTGGGGAGATGGAAAAGTGAGAAGAATAAACCATCACCGCATAGCACAGCACAGCATAGCACATCACATCAAATTACACATGGTATGGAGCAGCATGGCACAACACAGCATAACATACAATGGAACAAACCAGAACAATATGATTAGTCACAGAGGAAACATAAATGGAAGCAAAGAGAGCAACTTAAATGCTATGAGTTACGACAGATGTATGAACATTTTGGTCAAGTGTAGCACAGAACATATCACACTGATGCAACAAACAAACGATGTAGTGGTTACGTCACCCACAAGCAGTAAATCAAACAACAGAATTGGTCAAATACCAGCCAGTTAGGATGAAATGAGCCCGCTAATCGCATACCAATTTAGAGAGGCTTTTGGATTGACAACAAACAGAAAACACACACGCGCGCGCGCGCCGCACGCATACACGCACGCACGCACACACACACACACAATAAAAAAAACAGGTTTTCAATTTGCGGCCACAAACACGTACCGAGGCAAATGCCGGAGATGTTCTGATAGCCAGCCTTGCACACACAGGATGCACCGCCTGAAGCGTCCCTCACACAGTCAGTTGTGGGATCGCAGATCAAGGACCCACAGCCCGCTGCGGGACAAATTAGAGGGGAGTGGTATGGTCATAAAAGGTAAGACAAGTGAAAGAAGAGAGAGAGAGAACTGCATGGAGAAACATACATCAACATACAGCAGCACAGAGCAGCACACAGCAGTGCACATCTGCAATCAACTGTCAAAAAACTCCTAACCTGCATACACTAGTTCACTCTGATAGAGTAGGGATAGTCACCTAAACATGGAATAGGTGCACATCTACGTTTCAAATCGACCATTTGGGGGTCCGAGACATTGGGCAGGGAAAGATAGATTCGACCCAGATCATCAATCTTAACTCGTTCTAGTCTCCGCTAATCTATGCTTAGGCTAGGTAGGTCCGAGACCTTGGGCAGGAGAGCATTGGCATGTTGATACTACTCCTCGTGATTTATATGGACCAGATAATATGGGTTAGATAATAAGGGCCAGATCCCAACTAGCCAATCCCACCTCCTTTCCACAACGATGCAAACCTCCGTGGTGTGTAATCCAAACGACTGTTGAGCTCTATTCTCCGTCCTTACACAAATATTCACAATAGTAGCACATACATACCAGCGCACGTCCTGCCGTCGGGCTGCAGAACAAAGCCAGCATCACAAGCACAGAAGGCCACTCCTGCACTGTCCTGAACGCACTTGCCGTTCGCACTGCAGCTGTTGAGAGTGCAGTTCTCTGTAGGTGAGGTGAGGAGATAGCATGAAGGGAACTGTGGTATGTATGGTATGGATATGTAAGCAGCTCGTGCGCTTTGGGGAGTTTATGGGTTGAAGGAGGGTTGCAGCGCATGTGCATGCCTTTTGCACCACAAGCGAAATGTGCAGCACAGTGTTTCTTAAGTAAACATGTGAAATAACAAGATTGATTGAAAGGGGCCAGCTTCAAAAGGACATGTGCACTCAAAGTGCATTCTCAGCAAAGAAACGCCAGTAATTGACTAAACGGGCCAGATGATACAGGGGCAAAGAGAGGAACAGGATGGACCCCACCAGTGTAATGGCCCAAACAACCAACGCAGCAGCACTCACCAAAGATAGAGCAGCCGAAGGAGCGGAAAGGATACCCGTAATAAGCCCTATTGCATGCACAAGCAAACGCACAGGTAGGTGTATGTAAACAAATATGTGTCTGCAAGCAGAGACGAGTACCAAACAAGGAGAGCTAGAAAGCAACCACAAAATGGAGAGGGAAAGGAGGGGTGGGTGGCAGAGAGGAGGCAGAGAGGAGGAGGCAGAGAGGTGGCAGAGAGGAGGCAGAAAGGTGGCAGAGAGGTGGCAGAGAGGAGGCAGAAAGGTGGCAGAGAGGTGGCAGAGAGGTGGCAGAGAGGAGGCAGAAAGGTGGCAGAGAGGTGGCAGAGAGGAAGCAGAGAGGAGGCAGGTGGGTTGGTTCAGTGGCTCACGGAATACTCGTAGTGCTGATGCCGGTTCCTGTCGAGAGAGGAAACAAACTATATGTTCCGATGCACCCTGCCTGGTAGTAAGCGCGAATCTCGAGGCACTGTCCCACTCCTCCAGGGGCGTTCTGCACGCTGCCATACGACTGGATGTCTGGCGCAGAGGAGGCTGTGAGGTTGGTGCAGCCGTTGTAGGTGAGGCGCATGGTGTAGGTGGCTGGCGTTACGCGGAAGCCTGGGAGCGTGTAGTAGGTGAAGCTGGTAGAGGAGACGGTGGGGGTGGCGTCTGGAAGGGGAAGGGAAGGAACGGGTGTCAAGCGTCAAGGTTGCTGGGGCAATACGCCAACGCTTGGAAGCGTGTCGATCGTAAAACAAGGCCAAGACACGGAGGAGAAGCGATCTGTTAGAGGTGAATGCAGCAGAGGATCAAACGGCCAAAGGGGGGATGCTTGTCTTGATCTAATAGCAACTTGTTTCTCTCATTCCTAACAACCCTCTCAAGACAATGGCATACCTAGGACGCAACCAACTGCGGTCATGCCAGAACCAGGAGGGCAGAGGCAATACACTGCTGAACTGTACGCAACTGGAGTGCAGCTGGCCCCTGCAGGGCAGACCCCACAGGGGGAAGGTGCTGGGGAGGGGAGGGGCCGGGGGGGGGGGGGGGGGGGGGGAGGGGGGGGGGGGGGGGAGGATACAGGGGCAGCAGATGGTGAGTGCGGTATCGGACGGACGTTGTCGAACGCAACAGTGCACGCAATGTGATAAAAGTGATTTTCTGAGACGTGTCAAAAAATCACTTAAATCATGCAGTATGGGACACGGACGTTGTCGAACGCAACAGTGCATGCGAATGGGCTCACGAACAGACAGTGAGTGCAGCATGCTAGGTAGAGCAGGCTCATGACATTCCGGGTTCGAGGTAGGCACAAGCCGGGGTGAGACGAGCCGCTTAGCAGCCTGGCTTGGCAGCCTGACTGACCTTGCAGCCTGACTGACCTTGCAGCCTGACTGACCTTGCAGCCTGACTGACCTTGCAGCCTGACTGACCTTGCAGCCTGACTGACCTTGCAGCCTGGCTGGCTTGTGGCTTGTGGCTTGTCCGGACTGGCAAGCCGAGTCGGGGAGCAGCCGGTGTGTGCAGTGCAACAACAAGCTGGGTATCTAGTCTCAGGCCGTTTTTGATTCAGAAAGAAAGACAACAAACCGTTTAACAGAAACCACGTAAAATGCGGGTAATACCTTGAAACACAGATAGTAATAGAGCGTATACTCCCGCCGAACGGATTAAAAAAATAAAGAGGCGCAAAATAGAGTTAAAGTAGGCATGAACGGAAAGGCTAGTCGAACCACAATTCAAACCAGGCCGAAATGGTCTCATGGGATTTAGACCAGTAGAGCTTACTCATGAACGTGCTTACTCATACACGTGCTTACCCATACACGTGCTTACCCATACACGTGCTTACCCATACAATTACCCATACATGTGCCCAATACGTGTACGCGTATGCACGTGTGTGGGTAAGTTCTACTGGTCTAAACGGCATGAGCTACCATGAAACAGAACCATCATTAGGACTCCATCCATGTGGTCTTCAATACGAACTTACCCGTGCACGCGCCCGACACATTCTGATAGCCCATTTTGCAGACACAGGAGGCCATGCCTGCAGCGTCCTTCACGCAAACGGAGCCTGGAAGATTGCAGCTCTTGATGGCACAGGTGTCTGAATAGATGGCGGGGCGATGGGGGGGGAGGAAGGAACCACGTAGATGGAGGGAGAGGAACGAACGAAGTAACGAGTCAGGAAAGCACATCACTGGTGGGAGGTGGAATATGCAACCTCCTCATGACGAGGTAACCGCTGCTCACTCCGATGGATATGATCGGATGGGTTACACACCCCACTGTCACAGAGTGATGTTCTTGGTGCAAGTGTGCATGTACCTGGTACAGAGGGCGAGAGTGAGGATTTCAGCAGAGCAGCACAGCATGCAAAAGTTTCCTCCCATAGCGGGACATACATACAGAAAGCATAAGCAAGCACACAGCAGCACATACCCATTGTAGTACATGCATATCACATGGCATAGCACATGGCATAGCACATGGATGGCATATCACATGGCATATCACATGGCAGTTAGACATGAAGATCTGAGGCAAGTAATATATCGACTGGGATTTTAAGTCGTTAATGGCAAACTTCGAGGGTGGTTCTTATGAACAGGGTAAAAAAAAAGGCTATCTATTCAAAAATATACAATAAAAAACGGTATCATGGAAAGTGGTCGTAAAAAACTGTTGAAAACGGTTCCAGGAGGTGTTATTCACTGAAAAACAAAAATCGGCTGTTTTATGGGACCAAATTGATGAAGAGGACGAGCCCTTCCGTGCATGTTTGCGTTTGTGGGCATGATTGAAAATGTATTCGACCTTGTTTTTTCCCTTTTTTACTTGGTGACAAGAGTTCTCTTCAAAAAAATGGTCGTTGTAAAAAGCGGACCGTAAAAACCGGACCGTAAAAAGTGGACCGGATTCTTGAACCTTGCTCTCGGAAAAAAAAAAAAAAAACAAACAAACAAATACAAGAACAAAACAAAGCAAAATATAAACCTACAGGAAACTCGTACAAAACAAAATGTAAAATACGCGTACAAACTTGTCAAGGACTGGTAAAAACCCGTATGAAACTCGAGTTTTACCCGACTCAGTCGAGTTTTTGTCCTTTGCACTCGAATGGAGAAAAACTTGTCTCGCGTGGCGAGTTTCAAGTGCTGATTCTGCGAAAAAAAAACTTTGACAAGTTTTACTTGACTCAACTCAACAGCTGCTTGAGGTTCATTTAAACGAGTCAAGATAAAACTTGACTCGCCCAATGCTCATGACTATGGAATTCCATGTGGCATAGCACATGGCACAACACAATGTATGGCATTAAACATGGTACAGCACATGTCATTGCACATACCAGTACATGTGGTGCCATCGGGCTGCATCACAAAGCCAGACTCGCAAGCACAGGAAGCCACTCCTGCAGCGCTCTTGATGCACTTGGTGTCACCAGCACAGTTCTTGAGCACACATGGATCTGCCAAGGCGGGGGGGGGGGCACACGAAACAGTGAATGGAAGAGATTGGCCTTGTGTATCTGAAGGGGGAGGGTGTAGAAGGATTAGAGTGAGGAGGATGGGTAGCAGCAGCAGCAAGTTTAAGAAGAGAAGAACACATGCGGCAGCACGTACCAGTGCATGTCCTGCTGTCAGTTTGACGAACAAAGCCCACGTCACAAACACAGGAGGCCACTCCATCGCTGTCCTTGGTGCACGTGCCGTTGCCACCACACGCTTTGAGTGCACATGTATCTGGGGGCGAGCGGGGCAGGGTAGTTGAATTGAAATTACACGTTGTAGCACAATGCATAATACACCACATAGGAGATGCCAGATTTCATGGCATAGCACACGCCTCATGGCCCATCGCGTACCGGTGTGCAAGTGGAGCCACACTTCCTTCCTCCTACTCCCTTCCTCTCTCTCACCACACCGATGGGGTTCGTTTCGTTGTCCTAAAACAACACGGGTTGATGGAAGTAAGGCCACCGCAGCCCACCTGTCCGCTACTGACACAGGCCACATGACCCATCGCATACCGGCGCAAGTGAAGCCATCAGGTAGCAGCACAAATCCAGTGTTGCAAACACAGGACGCCACTCCTGCAGCGCTCTTCACGCACGTGCTGTTACCACCACACTTCTTAAGCACACATGTGTCTGCCGAGGCAGCTGGCACAAGGAACAGGGAAACATGTGTATATAGAGAAACAGGGAATTATCATGCATGTGCATGTGAAGGGAGAGGGGTAGAAGGAACACAGTGAGTATGACACAAAGCAACAGCATGTATACGAAAAGAAGCACGCATCAGCAGCACGTACCAGTGCATGTCCTTCCATCAGTTTGAAGAGCAAAGCCCACGTCACAAACACAGGAGGCCACTCCATTGCTGTCCTTGGTGCATGTGCCGTTGCCACCACACTTCTTGAGCGCACATTTGTCTGCCAATGCAAAGAGCCACAAGGAAAAGTCAACGGGAAGGGCAGAATGTGCAGGAAGAGAAACAGTGAGTTATCGGGCATGTCTGTGTGGAGGAAGGGGGAGAGGAGGACCTTAGAAGTACCAGAGTATGACGGGTAGCAGCAGCATGCATAAGAAGAGAAGCACACACACAGCAGCACGTACCAATGCATGTCCTGTTGTCATATTTAAGAACAAAGCCCGCGTCACAAACACAGGATGGCACTCCATTGCTGTCCTTGGTGGATGTGCCATTGCCACCACACTTCTTGAGCGCACATTTGTCTGCCAATGCATAGAGCCACAAGGAAAAATCAACGGGAAGGGCAGAATGTGCAGGAAGAGAAACAGTCAGTTATCGGGCATGTCTGTGTGGAGGAAGGGGGAGAGGAGGACCTTAGAAGTACCAGAGTATGACGGGTAGCAGCAGCATGCATAAGAAGAGAAGCACACACACAGCAGCACGTACCAATGCATGTCCTGTTGTCATATATAAGAACAAAGCCCGCGTCACACACACAGGATGGCACTCCATTGCTGTCCTTGGTGCATGTGCCATTGCCACCACACTTCTTGAGCGCACATTTGTCTGCCAATGCATAGAGCCACAAGGAAAAATCAACGGGAAGGGCAGAATGTGCAGGAAGAGAAACAGTGAGTTATCGGGCATGTGTGTGAGGGGGAAGGGGGAGAGGAGGACCTTAGAAGTACCAGAGTATGACGGGTAGCAGCAGCATGCATAAGAAGAGAAGCACACACACAGCAGCACGTACCAATGCATGTCCTGTTGTCATATTTAAGAACAAAGCCCGCGTCACAAACACAGGATGGCACTCCATTGCTGTCCTTGGTGCATGTGCCATTGCCACCACACTTCTTGAGCGCACATTTGTCTGCCAATGCATAGAGCCACAAGGAAAAATCAACGGGAAGGGCAGAATGTGCAGGAAGAGAAACAGTGAGTTATCGGGCATGTGTGTGTGGGGGAAGGGGGAGAGGAGGACCTTAGAAGTACCAGAGTATGACGGGTAGCAGCAGCATGTATAAGAAGAGAAGCACACACACAGCAGCACGTACCAATGCATGTCCTGTTGTCATATTTAAGAACAAAGCCCGCGTCACAAACACAGGATGGCACTCCATTGCTGTCCTTGGTGCATGTGCCATTGCCACCACACTTCTTGAGCGCACATTTGTCTGCCAATGCAAAGAGCCACAAGGAAAAATCAACGGGAAGGGCAGAATGTGCAGGAAGAGAAACAGTGAGTTATCGGGCATGTGTGTGTGGGGGAAGGGGGAGAGGAGGACCTTAGAAGTACCAGAGTATGACGGGTAGCAGCAGCATGCATAAGAAGAGAAGCACACACACAGCAGCACGTACCAATGCATGTCCTGTTGTCATATTTAAGAACAAAGCCCGCGTCACACACACAGGATGGCACTCCATTGCTGTCCTTGGTGCATGTGCCATTGCCACCACACTTCTTGAGCGCACATTTGTCTGCCAATGCATAGAGCCACAAGGAAAAATCAACGGGAAGGGCAGAATGTGCAGGAAGAGAAACAGTGAGTTATCGGGCATGTGTGTGTGTGTGGGAAGGGGGAGAGGCGGACCTTAGAAGTACCAGACTATGACGGGTAGCAGCAGCATGTATAAGAAGAGAAGCACACACACAGCAGCACGTACCAATGCATGTCCTGTTGTCATATTTAAGAACAAAGCCCGCGTCACAAACACAGGATGGCACTCCAGCACTGTCCTTGGTGCATGTGCCGTTGCCACCACACTTCTTGAGCGCACATTTGTCTGCCAATGCATAGAGCCACAAGGAAAAATCAACGGGAAGGGCAGAATGTGCAGGAAGAGAAACAGTGAGTTATCGGGCATGTGTGTGTGGGGGGAGGGGGAGAGGAGGACCTTAGAAGTACCAGAGTATGACGGGTAGCAGCAGCATGCATAAGAAGAGAAGCACACACACAGCAGCACGTACCAATGCATGTCCTGTTGTCATATTTAAGAACAAAGCCCGCGTCACAAACACAGGATGGCACTCCAGCACTGTCCTTGGTGCATGTGCCATTGCCACCACACTTCTTGAGCGCACATTTGTCTGCGAATGCATAGAGCCACAAGGAAAAATCAACGGGCAGGGCAGAATGTGCAGGAAGAGAAACAGTGAGTTATCGGGCATGTGTGTGTGGGGGAAGGGGGAGAGGAGGACCTTAGAAGTACCAGAGTATGACGGGTAGCAGCAGCATGTATAAGAAGAGAAGCACACACACAGCAGCACGTACCAATGCATGTCCTGTTGTCATATTTAAGAACAAAGCCCGCGTCACAAACACAGGATGGCACTCCATTGCTCTCCTTGGTGCATGTGCCATTGCCACCACACTTCTTGAGCGCACATTTGTCTGCCAATGCATAGAGCCACAAGGAAAATTCAACGGGAAGGGCAGAATGTGCAGGAAGAGAAACAGTGAGTTATCGGGCATGTGTGTGTGGGGGAAGGGGGAGAGGAGGACCTTAGAAGTACCAGAGTATGACGGGTAGCAGCAGCATGTATAAGAAGAGAAGCACACACACAGCAGCACGTACCAATGCATGTCCTGTTGTCATATTTAAGAACAAAGCCCGCGTCACAAACACAGGAGGCCACTCCATTGCTGTCCTTGGTGCATGTGCCGTTGCCACCACACTTCTTGAGCGCACATTTGTCTGCCAATGCAAAGAGCCACAAGGAAAAGTCAACGGGAAGGGCAGAATGTGCAGGAAGAGAAACAGTGAGTTATCGGGCATGTCTGTGTGGAGGAAGGGGGAGAGGAGGACCTTAGAAGTACCAGAGTATGACGGGTAGCAGCAGCATGCATAAGAAGAGAAGCACACACACAGCAGCACGTACCAATGCATGTCCTGTTGTCATATTTAAGAACAAAGCCCGCGTCACACACACAGGATGGCACTCCATTGCTGTCCTTGGTGCATGTGCCATTGCCACCACACTTCTTGAGCGCACATTTGTCTGCCAATGCATAGAGCCACAAGGAAAAATCAACGGGAAGGGCAGAATGTGCAGGAAGAGAAACAGTGAGTTATCGGGCATGTCTGTGTGGAGGAAGGGGGAGAGGAGGACCTTAGAAGTACCAGACTATGACGGGTAGCAGCAGCATGCATAAGAAGAGAAGCACACACACAGCAGCACGTACCAATGCATGTCCTGTTGTCATATTTAAGAACAAAGCCCGCGTCACACACACAGGATGGCACTCCATTGCTGTCCTTGGTGCATGTGCCATTGCCACCACACTTCTTGAGCGCACATTTGTCTGCCAATGCATAGAGCCACAAGGAAAAATCAACGGGAAGGGCAGAATGTGCAGGAAGAGAAACAGTGAGTTATCGGGCATGTGTGTGTGTGTGGCAAGGGGGAGAGGCGGACCTTAGAAGTACCAGACTATGACGGGTAGCAGCAGCATGTATAAGAAGAGAAGCACACACACAGCAGCACGTACCAATGCATGTCCTGTTGTCATATTTAAGAACAAAGCCCGCGTCACAAACACAGGATGGCACTCCAGCACTGTCCTTGGTGCATCTGCCGTTGCCACCACACTTCTTGAGCGCACATTTGTCTGCCAATGCAAAGAGCCACAAGGAAAATTCAACGGGAAGGGCAGCATAGGGATGAGCAAGGGGCGAACACGAACATGTTCGTGTTCGCCCCTACACGAACAAATCCGTTTGCTGAACCGAACTCTGTTCGGTTTGGCGAACACTTTAAGCAAAAACAGGTGTTCGCCTTTCGCCTGTGAAGGCGTGTTCGGGCGAACTTCGAACACGTTCGTGTTCGTCGCGAAGCAAATTGCAGCAGCGGCCCGAACACGAACGTGTTCGAGCGAACCTTGAACACTGTTTGGCGAACACTTTAAGCAAAAAAAAACAAACCTGTTCGGTTCGCCGCGAACGTGGTGTTCGCCCTTGTGCTCATGCCTAGGGCAGCATGTGCAGGAAGAGAAACAGTGAGTTATCGGGCATGTGTGTGTGGGGGAAGGGGGAGAGGAGGACCTTAGAAGTACCAGAGTATGACGGGTAGTAGCAGCATGTATAAGAAGAGAAGCACACACACAGCAGCACGTACCAATGCATGTCCTGTTGTCATATTTAAGAACAAAGCCCGCGTCACAAACACAGGAGGCCACTCCATTGCTGTCCTTGGTGCATGTGCCGTTGCCACCACACCTCTTGAGCACACATGTGTCTGAAGTGGGGAGGTAAGGTGGGTGAGCAAGTGAGGAGAGTTGCCCAGATTTGATGTGACAAGCCTCTTCGGTCTAGCCTGATACCTGACAGGCTCCTGACACTGTTTCCTGACACCCTGCTCTTAACACCTTGATTGACAACCAGCTGAACACACACCAGGCGCTGACACCGGGTACTTTACTTTCTGCCTGAAAAAATCGGAGCGCCTCGAATACCAGGCTTCTGGGACCTACGGGAATACATCTTGACTGCTGTCATGACCACCGATTACCTCGTAAAGGTCTCCGTATAACGTATGTGTGCATTTACCTGAGGGATAACCCTCAACTTGCCGATCAATCTCGGGCACAGGATGCTATCATCAAATGCTGGCCTCAAGACCACGTTTAAAAGCTCACATGGGCGTAGAATCACAGGTCTGCCCAACCGCCCAGTAGCACTGTTGACGGGAGTTGGCTCCGCCCTCGCTAGGGCGAAGCCGACTTCATGGTCGGGTGCGCGGGAGGAGCAGCCGATCGTCTGCAGTGGTCGACGCTGGCCTGGGCGAGCAGGTCGACGAAGCTGGTCCCTGTGCGGGACTATTGTGACGCCGTCGACGAAGGAGGTCGGCGGCCACCTTCGATTGAGGTGGTCGACGAAGCATTTCGTCGACCTGAGGGGTCGCCGATTTGGTGAAGTCGGCGGCTAGCGTCGATCTGGGCGGTCGATGAGCACGTACAGTTGGCGTGCTCCTACCGCTCAAGTTGGCGCCGACTTGGTGCTTTTCCACCTGGGTGGTCGACGAAGGGGTTCGTCGACCAGGATGGGCACCGACTTAGGTGGTGGTCAACGAAGGAGGTCGTCGACATAAAGGGTGCCGAGGACTTTATGCGGTCGACCGAGTTACCTGCTCGACGATGTTCTGCGGAGGTTCGCGAATGTCGTCGAGGCTGCTGTGGTGAAGTCGACCGACGTGGCAGCACGTGGTCGATGTGGCACATCAGGCGCAACCGTCAGCATGTCGCAGACTTGGCACCTGCGCAACGTTCATGGCGGTGCGCGATGTGCACAACGTCTAGAAGCACCTGCGAAGTAGGTGCGCACACATGCGCTTACAGTCACTTGCGATTGCAAAGCTGGCAGGCCGCTCTGTTGCAGCGTTGGCAAGCCGCCTTGGTGTAGCGTTGGCAAGCCGCCAACTTGCTCTGTTGGCACGCCGCCTTTCTGCAACGTTGGCGCGGTGTCAACCTGCAGTGCTGGCAGGTCTTCGACTTTGCTGCGCTGGCAATCAACCTGCTTGGCAGCTAGGCAGACTTGCATCTGATATAGTCATTCTTGTCATTGATTTTGCTAACATTTTGAACCAACTCTTGCTAGTGAAACTTTTGTCAATTTGCCCCGTGAATGCGCAAATAGAGAGAACATGAGCAAACGCTACAATCACTCGTACCACCCGTGCTTTCCCCGTAGTCTAACTCCCACCGGTATAGAGTGACTCTCTGCAAACACTAACCAGCAGCACTCAACCCCACAACAACAACTCAACCAACAATGCAACGGCACTCACCAACACAGTCGGTGGGGGTCATGGCGAATCCAAGGTTGCAGATGCAGGTGGCGTTGCCATTCTCCTTCACGCAGATCGAATTGGTGCCACAATTCCTTATCGCACACAATTCTGGCGGTTTATTCATGGAGGAACAGAGAGGAAGAGAAAGGGGGGAGGGAGGGGGGAGGGGGGAGGGGGGGGGGGGGGGGGGGAGAGGGTTGGGAGAGGGTTGGGAGAGGAGGAAGTGAGGGCGAGATGGGGCGGGTAAGGTATGGACTGGCTGGATAACTAGGCAATTAGGAATGGCGAGTGCCATACCCGTTGCGGGTAGAGGGCAAATAGACAGTTGGGCACTACAAGGGTTTCCAAGGCTCCCCCCTGACTATTGGTTGGTGACTTACGATCTGCGGCTTCACTCGTAGCTGGCGGGCTGGAGGCAGCAGCCCTGGGAGTACAGGCTGTGAGTGGGTGGGGGAAAGAACGGGAGGAAGCAGCATGGGATGAGGAGGAAGGGTTGGCAAGGCTGAACGGGGAGGCGAATGGATCAGCGGATGTTAATCGCAGCTGGAACAGGCAGCCCTGGGAGCACAGGCCAGGGAATGGGGAAGGGGGGAACGTGGAAAGGGGGAACGGGGAAAAGGGGGAACGGGGAAAAGGGGGAACGGGGAAAAGGGGGAACGGGGAAAAGGGGGAACGGGGAAAAGGGGAAACGGGGAAAAGGGGGAACGGGGAATAGGGGGAACGGGGAAAAGGGGGAACGGGGAAAAGGGGGAACAGGGAAAAGGGGGAACACGGAAAAGGGGGAACGGGGATAAGGGGGAACGGGGAAAAGGGGGAACAGGGAAAAGGGGAACAGGGAAAAGGGGGAAACGGGTAAAGGGGGAAACGGGAAAAGGCGGAACAGGGAAAAGGGGGAACAGGGGGAAAGGGGGAACAGGGAAAAGGGGGGAACGGGGAAAGGGGGAACAAGGAAAATGGGGGACAGGGAAAAGGGGGAAAGGGATGAGGGACGGGAATTGATCATGCACGAAGGCGAAAGGGTAAGATTACAAAAATGATGTACAGTGCTGAATCTCGCCCTGAAAATTGCATCTAGGACCAAGACTGCGGGCATGTCTAGTTATAGTGACAACATCGCCGCACTCATGCATGATGCCTCTTCCAAGAATCCTAGTCCAAATTGACATACTTCTCCGCCAATCCTATTTTTTCCTCTATCGGCGGGCTTCCTCGATGCCCTACAGATATAACTTACGACGGAGACTTTCATCCTATCCCGAAAATGTCCTATTAGGACGAAAACGTGACCCAGACGTATCCTAAATAACACTTATACTAGAGCAAAGTACCTGAGAGCATGAGAGCAGCCAGTGCAGCGAGCACGAGGCCAGAGCGCCGCTTTACAGCCATGTGCGGATGCGCTATCCCTGCGGCTGATGTTGGAACTACACGGGGCGGGCGGTACTATATGGGACAAAAGGAAGTCCACGTGGCAGCACAGCAGCACCAGCAAACTCAGGCTCTGCCACTACTGTGAACTTGTGGTGTTCACGAAAGAGGCGTTTTCAAAACGGTGGCGGTATCTGGCTTCAGAATTGAAAAGAAGCTCCTGTTTCGTAGCAACTTAGGAAAGGAGACCTGAAAATAAATCACTTTCTTACTAAGAAAATTGAAAGCAACGATTGTGAAGGCGGACTTGGAAACCTGAAAGTCCAAGAACAAGACGAGACGAGCAGAAGAAATACGTCTGGGATTAGTCAGGCGGGCAGCCGGCTAGTTGGCGCTGCCTGAGACCCAACGCAGGTGCAACCTTCGCCGGTTACAATGAAGGAAACAAAGCCGTACAATTTTTCCCGCGTTGTTTTACATTTGTTCTGCACAATTTGAGTACCCACGTACGTACTGAAATTCTGTACGTAGAAGTGATTATTGTGGGAATTTCGAAGATTTTTTCCCCGTTCCTTACTGTTAGGGCGTGTCTGCGGTTTCCGCCGTCAATGCACATGTCACCTGGGCAGGTAAATCGGTACAGCATCTGGCTTTCAACCTGAGCAGTCAAATTCCCGTTTCTATTGACAGCCAACAACTTCGGCATGGACACAAATCGACGAAGGACAATGGTGGGACCTCGCAACGCAATGGTGGCGTTGTACAAAACAAGAGTGTTGTGGTCCAACAAAGTTCATTCAAACAATGCAGGGCAGGTCTTCTTTGTTTATGTCGAAATTTTGCGAGGGTTTGATTCTGCTTTGTTTTGTTTGGATTGCCGGTTCAACGCATTTCTGACATGGTGAATCCGCACCGGATCAGCAAATTTCCAAGCTCATCAACAAAATTCCGTCCATGTCAGCAGCTGAAATTGCGCGCAACAACCTGAACCGCAACCGCATCAAAACGGTCGACCACTCTCGCCCCGCTTTCTGGAGCCTTGTGTCGGGTCAATTAGGACGCGGTGCAGATCGGGCGATCGATCGCCTCAGATCGTCCGATCGGGTCAGGTCGGATCGGATTGCCTGGGATTGCCCCGATCTGAGGCAATCTGTCGATTGCGTCCCGAGCTGCGCGAATCAGACGATGAATTTCGGGGAAGTAAGTGAGAATCAGCCGCACGGGCTTTATGTTATTCACTCGTTCCTTCCCTGCAGAGTTGGCGACACCTGACGAAATTTTGTATCGCGCAATTACAACGAAGCCCCTTTTGGGGGGCAGACGCGTCTGTAAAGTTATAATATCGCGATATCCAATGGTGCTGCTAGAAGTTTCGACAGGGGAGGTTACCGTTCGCAACTGTCGCCAAACCACGCGATCTGAGGCAATCTGTCGATTGCAATCGATCGGAAGCGATTGCGTCAGATCGGCGCGATCGGTCGCAATCGATCGGATTTCCGATTGCAATCGACAGATTGCCCCCGATTGCAAACGATTGCCTCAAAATACCCCTACGGCTTCTTGGAAATTGTGGATTGCCCCAATCTGACGCAATCGCACTCAGACTGGGCCGATATGTATCGCGTCCTTAGATCTAGCCTTTTTTCTTTCCAAAACATTAAATTGTTTTAATGCTGGGGATTTGACGGTTATTATTGCCTGGACAATCAATATCAGCAGAACTGGTATTCAGTGGATTGTAGAATTTGTAGCCGTCTGCGCCACAATTACATATCCTGCCAATCAGGCAAGAAATATATTAGCCCTCTTCAAGAAATATATAAGAATATGAATAATATATAATATCATAACACCTAGCTAGGTACGGTACCAACTGGGCTTCGTTTTGGATTTGGCCTACTCACGATTGGCAGTGTAGCTTTTTCAAAAACCCTTATGGGCAGTCTGTACTTTTCCGTTACACTGATAGAGCAGTGTAACATCAGTTTTTGAAAAAAATTACCCTGCATCGTTAATGTGGTTTTTTTTCGAACACTGACAGATGTTCGCAAAGTCTTGTGGTTGCTGCCAATGTTTGGTTTCGTGGCGTGCTGGCAAAGGAATCATTCCTAACAGACCAATCGGACACGTGACTGCGGACAACGCACGTACTGCACGGAAGGAATCCTCAGCACTTGCGTGATGAACGGAAATCACGATCTGACAAATTTCGGGGAAAAGCGCGAGGGGAGGGGGGGGGGGGGGGGGGGGGGGGGGGTACGCTCTTCAGTGTAATCTTCGCTAAGGGAAATTTTACCCCAAGGCATCAGTGTGGCCTACGTCGATACACTTACAGATCAGTGTAACATTAACTCACCAAAAAATTACCCCAGCACATCAGTGTAGACCCAAAATTTCACCCTTATAATCAGTATAGAAGGTAAATTATTCTGATAACCTGAGCCCTGGGTATCAACCCTAGGCACCATGTTGTAGGTGTATCAGGTTGTCAGAATAGGAACGAAGGAATGATTGAATTAGCAAGCAGATGGGTACAAGTAGGAAAAACCTAAAGTGTTGTACCCCATATTGACTACCCCACTACAGCCTACACAGATTATAGCATATATGATTTTCACACCCCCATAGGCAAAGTGGGGGAGAACAAGAGGTCACAAGACCGGTCAAGAGAGGCAAAGCAAGCTCAGGGTGGATCACGAAGTCACCACGCATTCCGAGCACAAGCAAATGGCCACAAGGCTAGCTCACATGCAGAGTTATATAAAGGAGAACAAGCAATACAGTGATCACAACCTAGCAAGTGTAAGCATGCAAGTATATGTATAGAGATCACAGTACAAGCAGAGTCAAGAAGTAAGCAAATGAGGCACAGTAGGCACAAGGCCTAGAACAGTACAGAAACGCTGATGATCACAAGGCTGGAGTGCCTTGGTAAAGACATCAGCAGTGTTGGCCTGGGTGGCCACGTAAGCAAGACGAAGCTGACCACGCTGCTGCAACTCTCGAGCAAGGAAGTAGCGCAGAGCGATGTGCTTCGTTCTGTGCTCCAGTCTGTGCTCCTGACACAAGGCAATCATGGCCTTGTTGTCGACGTACAGCACTGGAGGAGAACGAGGCACCTCTCCCAGGTCGGTCAGCAGGTAGGTGAGCCAGCGTAACTCCTGTGCAGCCATGGCCCCGGCGTAGATCTCAGCCTCACAGCTGGAGCTGAGAACAGAAGAAGAGCGGGTAGACCGCCAAGAAACAGAGCCGGAGCCAAGGCTGAAGGTGTAACCCTGTGACGACCGCTGCGTAGCCAAGTCGTCAGCCCAAGAAGCGTCTGCGTGACCAGTGAGGACAACTCGAGCCCGTCCTCCAAGCACGAGCCCCATGCCCGACGTACTGCACAAGTAGCGCAACACCCTCTTAGCAGCATCCATGTGCTCCTTCCTGTGTCGGCCAGGAGCGACATAGCGTGCTAGGATGCTAAGAGGGTAGGCAAGGTCAGGTCGAGTGCAGGTCATCAGGTACATGAGGCAGCCCACAAGCTCTGGATACGGGCCACTCGGCTCTACGGACTCGTCCGAAGGTGGAGCTGAGAGCGAGTGACCGGTAGGCAGAGGAGTGGACTGTGGCGAGGAGTACGTGAAGCGGAAGCGCTGAAGGACCTGCTGCACCATGTGTGACTGAGTCAGGGTAATGGTGCGCAGTGCTCTGTCCCGGGTGATCCGCAAGCCAAGATAGCTTGTCAGCTCACCCAGGTCTGTGCACGTGTATCTCTTCTGCAGCTCCGACTTCACGTGGGCGAGTGCCTCAGTGTCAGAAGTAGCAAAGACCAAGTCGTCTACGTACACAAGAACGTAGAACGGCGGCAGAGTGGTGTCGGTGCGTAGAAACAGCGACGGGTCAGCAGTAGAAGGAGCAAACCCAAGAGCAGCAAGAGTAGTCCTCAGTGTGTCGTGCCACTCACGGGGTGCCTGGCGGAGACCGTAGACTGGCCGCCGGAGGCTCCACTGGGTACCAGCAGGAAACGACCCAGTGAAGCCCGGTGGGCGGCGCAGCCAGATCTCCTCGTGCAGGCTGCCCTGTAGGAAAGCAGTGCTAAAGTCAAGAGAGTGAAGCTCGTAGTCACGCTGAGCGGCGACGTGCAGCAGAACCCGAAGAGTGGTCATCTTCGGGGTAGGGGAGAAGGTCTGGAAGAAGTCAACTCCCTCTCGCTGACTGAAGCCTCGTGCAACGTAACGCGCCTTGAAGACAGGCGGAGAACCCGGCGGCCGCTTCACCCTGAAAATCCACATGCCACTGACGATGTTCGCCCCACGCGGGGGAACCTCGTCGACGTAGGTGCCTGTGGACTTCCAGGAAGCCATCTCAGCGCCCATGGCTGTCTGCCACTGAGAGGAGTAGGGACCCTCTATCGCCTCTGCGTAAGAGCGCGGGGTCGGGATGTCTGGTGCATCCGGGTCTCCCTCAGGGGCAATCAGCATGGACACGAGATGAGGTAAAGCAGCGACAACGCACTCAAACTCATCCTGTCTGTCCTCAAGGACGTCCGTGCCAAGAGCACACTCACCCCCGACGGACGGAGGACAGACAGACTCAGACTCAGCAACAAGACTAGCGGCGTAGTCTAGACGACAGGCAGCAGCAAAGTCA